AAACAAAACAGTAAAATTTAAATTATGTGTTCAAGTATATAGACTAATTTAATGGAACTAACCTTGAAAAATAAATATGAAAGTCAATTAAAATATAAAACAGGAGATAAAGTTCTCCTTTTAAATTTAACTGGTGCATTTTAAGTGTATTTATTTAGTGGTTAATATAATGCTTTTATTTCTAATTATGTCAGTTTTGGTCCTCCGTACTGCAGAAGCCTGATAATCATTTATTCATTCATGTCAGGTGTGTTGGAGCAGAGAAACAAGTAAAACATGCAGGGCTGCAGCCCTCCAGGACCAGGATTGCCCACCACTGGTTTAGAACAAAACTTACGATGATAATGAGGCGCACTAGCTGGGTGTACGTTCGCTCTCCACCTTTCCGAGTGATGATGTCCCATTTCTCAGGGGTGCAAACTATGATCTGCGTGGCATTGATCTCCTCTTTGCAGAGCTGGTGGTCTCCCGTCAGTTCAGACACGGTGATGCCATAACTCGCCAATCTCTGTAAAAACAAAGGGGGATATTTTATCTGTAGACCTGCACCCAGGTGTCTTTCAAGTATAACAGAGATTCTTTTTGAGAGCAGCAAAACAACTCACCTTACTGAAACTGCCCACCATTTCCTGTACGAGTGAGCGCATGGGTGCGATGTAGATAATTTTAAAGTCGTCCAAATTGATCGTCCCGTCCAGGTTTATGTGTTTCCCAATTTCTCTCAGCATGGCCATCAGGGCAACATTAGTCTTACCAGCTCCCTGCGTGTCAAATAATTACCATGATTAAAAAACAGAACACATTTGAAAACAAGTCAGAAAGCTTTTGTTTTAAAAAAAAAAAAAAGGTTTTCTCACCGTGGGTGCACAGACGAGCAGGTTTTCATCTGTTTCCATGGTGGTCTTAAACAGCTTGCTCTGAATGCGGTTTAGAGCTTTGAACCCTTCAAATCCAGCTTGTGCGTACTTCGGTAACTTCTCAATGGAAACGAGCACCTGAAGACAAGAATATGCTGAATGCAGGATCTAGACTGCTTATTAGTAAATGCTACGGCTTGAGCTGTAGAGCTGAAAACACAGTGAACACCGCAGTGCTGTGTGTCATTAGAGCTTCAACTAATGACACGAAAACATATCTCACAACCTTGAATGACCTTTCCTTGTAAATGTTTAAACTTTCAACATCAAACAGTGCTACTCGCTTTTACTGACAAATAAAGTGTCGTTAAAAACAAAGAAGAGCAGCTGCTAAGGCAGCATGATGTCCATGCAGGCTGCTAATTAGGGCTGCACCGATTAGTTGAAATAATCGATGACGTTGATTATGTAAATTTGTCGACACAGATTTTTTATTATTGATTCGCTGTATTACATAACCATTACGCGAATGTTCACGCAATTCCATTTCGGTACCTAAATGCATCACTACGACCGTATTGGCATAAGAGTGGTGAGTTTTCCATGTTTGTCCTGAATGCAGCATTGCGCAAGAGCGTAATGACGTCAGCAGCCGCTGCTTCAGTTCAGTCTGAAGCTTGAAAACAAGCTTCACAGCTCCTGGAGTAAAATTTACTGAACAGACCGCCTCTGAGTTATCTGGTGGATTAATTATCTTGTGAACACGACGTTCGCTTGCTCAAAGTAAATAA